CTATCGTCTGCACTAATTAATTAGAATATTTGAGCTCCTCTCCTTGAATCATTAAGATTGAGTCCTAGAACATTAAGATCCTATCATTAGATCAAAAGTTATTCAGGGTGGTCCGTGCTTTTCATTTTGTGCACAGTACCAAAATTTTCCATGGTTTAATAGATAACTTCAATTTTATTTCTTTAGTACTTCAGTACATTACGAAATTATTAATGCTGATTTTACTTGTTATAACCTAATATATAAGCTTGTTCCCTGACCCGCCCACGCAAGGGGCATCCAGGGATACTGATAGCCTACCAGGGTATTGATCAGTTAAGAACTGTTCAAATACAAAAACATGAAGTCCCTTAACTAAACGGATTTCCAATAAAATAAAGAGCAGATAAAAAGATGTTCCGTTACAAAGCGAAACTCAAAATTTGACTCAAATAATAGTAATGAAATTAAGAAGATCATGTCCTTGTGTGGTTTTGTCAAAATTGGTTTAACTAGTAATGAAGGGTCTTTTCATAATTTATACTGAGAGAGAGGAATTACACTGTATTAAAACGTGAGAAAACTATAGAACAAGAAGCAAAATTTAATCTAATCGTTTTGTTTGTGCAGTCCCTGGCCAAATTATTAGACGATTTTACGTAAAAACCTAAATTATCAGGTGATGCTATACAACATTATTTCTTGCGCGACTGAAGCGCGGTTTACACTTGTTTATGTTCGTGTATCAGTTGGTTAACATTGTAATTCAATACGATAAAAATGAATACAAATAGGAAGTATATTAAAAGACTCCGGAATAAAAGACCCTTACTTGTGTGCTTAGCTATAAAGGTATTGCTTATAAACTTATTCAAAGTATGCAATCTTTAAAACACTACAGTGCGTCTAATAATTAAGAATAATTATGTTAATTTGCTAATATAATACCTGGTATAATAAATATTCTATATTTATGTATCACATCGTCTGAATTATAGAATAGTCGAATTTATATTATATATCGTCCAGTTTAACCAATTGATACACGAACGTATAAGCAGGTGCAAACCGGTTTCAGTCACGTAAAAAACAATAAAGCTGTATAGAGTATCACCTGAGTAATTAAGATTTCACATAGAATTTTATAGTGCGTCTAATAATTTGGCCAAGGACTGTATAAGCTAATCCTAATATCCAAAGCATAAGATAAATAATTCATAAGAACGTGCAATAAAGCTAATTTTTGATTNAGCTCTTATAGTGTATTTGAATAAAAATCAAAAAAATCTGATTTAAATAAGAAAAAATCCGATTTTTTTGATTTTTTTAAAAAAAATCAGAAAAATCACGAACCCTGGATACTATACAACATTATTTTTTACGCGGCTGAAGCGCGGTTTACACTTGTTTTTCGTTTGTGTATCAGTTGGTTAACATTGTAATTCAATACGATAAAAATGAATACAAATAGGAAGTATATTAAAATCTCCGGAATAAAAGACCATTACTTGTGTGCTTAGCTATAAAGGTATTGCTTATAAACTTATTCAAAATATTCAATCTTTAAAGCACTACAGTGCGTCTAATAATTAGGACTAATTATGTTAATATGCTAATATAATACCTGGTATAATAAATATTCCATATTTATATAATACACCGTCTGAATTATAGAATAGTCAAATTTATATTATCGTCTAGTTTAACCAATCGATACACGAACGTAAACAAGTGCAAACCGGTTTCAGTCACGTAAAAAACAATAAAGTTGTATAGTATCACCTCTGATAATTAAGATTTCACATAGAATCTTACAGTGCGTTTAATAATTTGATCAGGGACTATATAGATGATAAGCTAATCCTAATATCCAAAGCATAAGATAAATAATTCATAAGAACGTGCAATAAAGCTAATTTTTGATTCACTAGACCTGCAAGCTAGAAACTCACTCGTATTATTAGATATTTATTCAATTTTTTCGTTGGGATATTGCGCATGCGTGATCCGGTAATCGGAAGATGCTTTAAAGTAGACAGTTAGGTTTACCGTTTCTTTGAACCCTTGCACCAAATTTAGTGTGAATCGGTACAGATTTACAGATTTATACAAGATGTATATGCACAAACATGTAAACCTTCCGCTTCATATAGATTTATATAGATAAAATAAGTAAATAGATTAAGAACAATAATATGAGTTAAGTGAATTTAGAATAAAAAGTTGCAATTATAAATTGCTCTATAAATTAATTAGATAACAAAATTTTGAACAGAAGTTCCGCATGGGAGGAGATACTAAATATGGCTTGAAATAAAATAAAATGTAACTATTGAGAAAATAAAACGCAACTCAATTAAAAATAAATGTCTGTAAAAAAATACATATTCACGAAGGTAAAATAGAAGAAAAAAATGGAAGCATATAAAAAGAAATGCTTAAAGCAATCAAATTAAATAATTTTAAATCATTTTCAAATTTTTCCCTGATACAACAAGACCGAATTCACAATTAAATCATAATTATCAAATTTAAGAGTGCGTACTTACGATCAAAAATAAAATTAAATTTAACTGACACTTAAAAATAATTATTTATCCTGAAGTCTTGCTAATTCAATCTTGTCTCACGTGTATACTTATTTTAAAATATTAAAATTTTATAGTACCAAAATAAGCGAAACTCAGCACTGAACTGTGATCAGAAAGCACTGGGGTTCGATCTCCGGTGAGGGCACCAAACTTTAGTTTGATGGGTACCAGCTTGTTCGTAAAATAAATGTGGGGTGGACTCAGTACTGTCCCCATAATGCCTTTAGTTACAAAATTCTAAAACCTTACCTTTCGTGACCCTATTGATACACAGTGGACTCTTGCGGGTATCCTACTGCTGCGGGGTAGATGTACATTGCACAAAAAAACGGACCACCTTGAATAACTTTTGGGCTAATGATCATACTAGGACTCAATCTTCATGATTCAAGGAAGGGTGACCTCAAATATGATAATTAGCTAGTGAAGACAATATTTACGTCACACGAAAACGATCTTTCTCTAAATAAACATACCTTTTTTTTTTGTTGACCGATTTGGATTTTTGATCCTAGAAATATAGAAAGTAGACGCAATCTGGGAAATATGGTCTCAATAGTTTGATTAGCTGAACCGCCCAGAGTTTAGACCCCTTAATGATAATTTTATTTTTAGCGTATTTTGCCATAGTTTAGAACTTTTTAAGCGATTTGAAAAAATTTTCCCGCAATTAGGAAATACGCTTGTTCAAAGATTTTATTCAAAATATAACTTTTAGTTACTATTTATTATTTATTATCATTTATTATTTATTATCATTTATTACTTATTATCATTTATTATTTTATTTAATAATAGCCGAAAAAATTTTAATTGTCTGGTATAAAAGTTTTTAAATTATTTTAAAGATTTTAAATTTACATAGCAAAATACAAAAATTGAACGAAATCAGTTGAATAGTACCTATCGAATTTTTAAAAAGAATTGTATGTAAACGTACATATAAATATAAAGACGAATATTCCCTAATACTAAGACATATCAGATACATCAATATGTTTCAATTTTTTTTAAAACGTAATATAATTTTTTTCATTTGGTACAGTAACTGCAAATTTCTTTAAGAAGTTAAAATCGAATATATTGTAAACCTGTTTGGCAGCTTTCTCAGCTAAACTGGGTTTTTTTTTCTTTGTAATGAAAGAAAACTTTAATAATCATTCCATCCGCAATAGGAGTTACTTATATGCATCAAACATTCATGCGACGAATTTCTGCTTGCAATTGCAATTGTCTTCAATTTTCAAAATTTCAAGAGAAAAGTCTTCTCGATTATCACGACGAGAAGTTAGACATTTCTAGCAAAAAAATAATTAAATAACAGTTTAATTATTTGTTATTTTACAAACCAAAATAGTTCAACCGAACTTTTAGAGGCAGGCTATCCTGGATCAGAAAATCAGTTTCCCCATATTATTCAATGAAAGAGTAGTGTGTATCAGGGAAGTTGTCGTACAATTTCATCCAAGAACACAACGTTCGAGGAGTTAACATTGTGTTGCCTGCATTTTGTTTATAACTAAAAATTATGTTTTCTTTTTCTTTTTTTCTTCCCTTTTTTCTGCAATATATATTGTTTTTTTAGTTTGTTTTTGTCCGCACTATCCCAACTACTCGGAACTAATGAGGACACGCTATGAGGCTAGTGTAGGCAAAATTGAAGACGCATTAAGTAATTATTTCTTTCAACTCAGAAAGGTATATTTAAATTTAAAATTAAGTTCAATCTACCTCTTATTGGAAAATGAATATTTACATATTTGAGTTAAAACACTAATTTGTAATAGAGCATTTCCAGAGTGGAGCCAATTGTAAGTTGAATTAATATCAAAAGCCCTTGTTTTAATCTGATGAGGAAATGGTCTAAAGGGACAACACTGTAAGAAAGCAACACTGGCAGAAATGTAACTTAAGCTCCATTGGAACAACATAAACAAGTCACGAAAAAGGAAGACGAAGGCATTTACTGATGTTCTATTTTAGTTTATAGCATGGCAAAAAATAAATTATCATTAAACATTTTGTTTACTTCAATAATTTATCCTTTAATATGTTCTTTAAATCTTCTTAAACCATTAAAAACAGATTAATATATAGATTTTATGTTGAAATGTTTACTTCAGATGTCTGCTTTTAAACTCACATGTTTTTCATGCTTATTCTTTAGGTTTACCTTTTTTTTACTTATTTTATTTGTTAGCTCACAAGATTTTTTATTCAGTAGAAATAAAAGAGTAATTACTTCTTTTTTCAATTTAAAAGTTCGCATGCTTGCATATTCGAAAATGAATTAGTTTGTTTTACGTTTAAATTTACAAGTTTTTTCTGTTGTTACAGTTCCATTCTCCCACGTTCTTTGGAGTTTGTATTTAAAATAGATTTTTATTAAATAAACGGATGCTCAAATTTATAATTCTGCACAGACCACTATTATAAAAAAATACAATATTTATTTCCAATTGGTTCAGTAGAAGAAATAGTTTTACATTAGAAATAGCTAACAAAAACAAAGGTTTGGCAACGTTGAAACATACAATTTTTAAAATGTTCCTAGCAAGAACCATGGAAAACCATGAACATAAAACCCATCGTTTTAATAACCGTATCGGGCATACGGCAATGTACCAAGCAATGCTCCAGCTAAACCATAACCACCATATCCGGCGCCATATCCAAGTCCACTATTTCCAATACCGTAACCATTTCCTAATCCTCCATATCCATAGTCTAATCCACCATAACCAGCGTAACCAAGACCAGTACTGCCGTATCCTCCATATCCACCATACAAATGACCATGGGCAGGAGCAGATGAATGGATATGTACTGCAGCTGGATTTTGATTGGCGGTACCAGGTTCGTTGGTCTTGACTTCGGCTCTGAAACCTCCGTGGTCAGCTACATAATTGACCTGTCTGTGAATACCTCTGTCATCGGTGAAACCATAACTTCCAGTCACGTGATGACCACCATTACCGGATTCCTCTCGGTGTTGCTCACCGTGCTTGTCTTTAATACTGTATCCAAATTTGTATGGTTTAGGTGCATGGTGGCCATGGTCCTAAAAACAAAAAATACATTTGCATAAATATATACAAACAATCTTAAAATATTGCTTAATCTGCATCGAAACTTGTCATTCTTATAAACATTTTTTTTAAATTTTCTTATAAAATAAAATTTATTGTAGATCAATTTTCTTTATCTATCCGAAATCATTTTTAGGGAATTTTTTCGAAACTCTTTCACTAAAGAAAATTTATCTGCACCTAGAACTGGAAAGCATATTTTGAATTGTACAGGGTGTACCACATAGTTTTCAGACTGTATTTATATAGTAACATAAGCATAAAAGAAAATTTTTAGTTTTTAATAATTAGTTACAGATAATTTTATGAGGCATTAGTAATTAATGAAAATGGTTGTTAACTTTTTAATAAAAAATATATACGGACACCACGGATATACTCTTTTACCAAAGAAAATTAAAAGTCTACATTCTGAGTACCTTGATCTCGATTCTCTGTGTGGTTAGTATCTATTTAATATAATATACGTGATAAAATCTAAGTTTCAAAATACATCTTTGATAATATTTTAGGTAGTGTTCTCAACTAAAGAAAAATATTCCGCTGGTTTTCATTGATAAAAGAATTTTAGTTTGAGTTTAAGTCTATAAACAGACATTTGGGGGGAATAAATTTATGAAATTTATGGAAATGAATATTATAGTAACCAGCAATAAAGTTCTCCACCGCATTTTACGAAGTGTTCTCAAGTAATCAGCATACATTAAATCGCTAGATGAATGCCCAGAGAGTTCTCTGAATCTTTATTAGTCAGATTATTTTGCATGGTATTATCAAAACTGAATAACGTAAAATGCACAAATTAAACTAGTTTCGATCGAGAACATATGAGTATGGGAAAAAAAAATTTGTGTGTTTCTTACACTTGTTTTGAGAAAATAAAAACGTATGGTTATTAGTCTGATTCCATCTTGTAAAAAACTAAAATAAACTAATGCGATATCATTCTGTGAGCTAACGCAAAATGTACTACTAATGTATAACTAATGAATGTTTACTGTTGTAAAATCTATTAATGTATGTCGAATGTACATTTACTAATGTAAAATCTGTTAATGCATGTTTACTAGGATAAAATTTGCTAATTTAATCATACTAAAGCATGCAATATAAACATAAATTATCTTTTTGTGATAATTTTGAGCATAATGTTATTTTGTTTTCTGTAAATAAATCTTTAATACATTTAACTACATCTCGAAATATTCAGTTTAAATCTGTATAAGAACTTTTGATGCAACTTTTGAACTTTTTTTTATCTGTAAAGATTATTTTGCTGTAACGATTTATCTGGGCTTTATGCAAAAAACTAAGTTACATCACAAAGTTTCACTTCCGCAGAACTATAGTTTTTTTTTCTTATACATTTTTAGCCATTTTTATTGTTAGTGTGGTAGGCACTGATTGAAGATGGGCAAAATTTGATCTGTATCCTGATTAACCATTGAAAACACACAAATGCTTAAAAAAATTCATATTGCTAGAAAAAACATACAATTTAATTTCAAAAATACAAAAATGAATTCTAATACAAAAAGAAAAGTATTTTTAGTATACAAAGTACAAAAGTGCAAAAAAATTCAAAATTTATTGCGCTAAAAGCTTCAATATGCAATACAGAATCATTTAACAAAGAAATAACATGCTCTAGAAATAATAATAAAAAAGAGAAATAGAGTTAATTATATAATTTTTCTTACTAGTGGGGGATGAGCAGCAGCAATGGTAACAATAGTTACGAGAAGAATAACCTGAAGAAATAGAGAATAAATGTAAATTAAAGACTGAATATGTAAAAAGCATTAATAAAACAGTAATAAGCAAAAAATTATTAACAGAATTATTTAAACATTATAATTTTAGGAAGTAAAGAAAATTCGAAAAATTTTCAGAATTTTTGTTAGCCGAAATCCTGTTATGTTTCCCAAATTGTTGAATTATTTCTTATTTATATCCTAAACATAAAGATATTCCCTTTTCTGAACCCATTGTTATAGCCTTTCAATTACCCAATTTCTCATATGTATCATTAACATAACGATAAATTATTAAACTATAACAAATCTATAAGCAACAGCATTTTTAGTTTCACATTTTGAGAATTAAAATTACAAAGAAGTCCTACTCTTAAAACAATCTGGGAAAAATAATTTAATTAAGATGCTATACTCAAAAATTTAAAATATAGCAATTAAAAAAAGCTATTCTAAATATCAATCTTCTTTTTCATTTCTTTCAGTTAAAAAAAAACATATAAATAAAATTTTACCTGTGGAATCATATTGGAAAGTATTTAACTTGTTTCTCCAAAAGCGGAATACTAATTGAAAGTAAACACAGGACACTTTATATAGTTAAGTGTTCAGAAAAACCGTGTTGCCAGATGAGAGATTAAACCACTTAATGCTTCAGCAGTCGCAGTTGAACTTGACCTCTTGTTTCTGTATATGACAAAATGATCCAATTTTATTTTTAAATAACTTTGTTTCTTTTCCTACTTGAAACTATTTTGGGAATGCTAGGAATCTTCATTTTCAATATTTATTTTTCTTTGTATATAATATTTAAAAATTATTTTTCTTCTCATTTAATTTCATTATTATTTTTAAAATTCTTTTCAAAACTAAAATCAAATACACACATAAGATGTTACTTGAGTGAAACTTTCACTTGCTTCAAAAATATACAAATTAGAAATAACAATCGACATATTTCAAGCTCTCAAAAATAGGCGCCCAATTTCAAGACCTGCCAGACGTGAATGGGAAGAAACAAAAGTGATTCGAAGTACAAAGTGCCGAGTTGCCAAAGAAAAATGGAAGAATAATGGGGGGAAACAAAATAAGAAAAACCACAATGGCCGGGTGAGAAAGAAAGATGTAAAACAGAAGAAGAAAAAGCACAGTGGTTGAAAGGCTAAATCAGGGTAAAATACATTTCCATACGCTATGGAGAGGTGGCGAAGAACTAATGTCGTTAACAAAGGAATCAGCATTCGTATGAATAAAACATGATTCCAGAGAATCAAGATGTACTGATGTGACAAGGGTGAAAATAATTTTAACATTATCGAAATTGAATTTATACAGACACTAGAGTTAACATCTATTAAATGTCGAATATTAATATTCAAATAAAGAAAATACACTATAGATGTCTGATGAAGATCGCATAACTCATGAAAAGTAGATTGATAGCCTTATGAAACTCGAAGTTGTTACTAATTATCACTTTTCAGCTCCTGTCTGTTTCAACTACTAATCTAACAGTTCTGAAAGTTTGTTTGTTTTAATCCCGCTTTCATCAGAAGGGATTCCTAAGAATTTGATTGAAATTCTTGTTTCTTTCTTATTGTTTGAATATTAGTTTACAACCCTTAACATCTTAGTACCCTTTACCTATCCAACCCTTAGTATCTTTATGATTTCATTTTTGACAAGGATGGAAGAAATATATACATTAAGAGAGGTAATTACTTAACGCCCTGCATATAATGAAAATTTAACATAAGTCTTAGGTTTCTTTTTTTATTTATTTTTTTTTGTTTGTTTTTTAAGTTTAAATACAACAAATGTGTAACATATAAAATCATTATAGAAAAACTTTTCACTCCATAAAAAATACTGAAAAAAAACATTAAGATGCATAAATATTATTCATATACAACCAAAGAGTCGAAAATTTAAATTTAGTATTAAAAATATAAAAGTAATTACTATCTACTCATGTCAGACTTATGTTTAGTGATTTTCCAAATATTAGGCGTGAGTCGCGATGGCTCATGAGACAGAGCACTCGCCCCTCAATGATGATATTCCCCGGTTCGAACCCCAGCGATGGCTGGTCAATACGAATTCCGCAGCCAGCTCGCCCCTACCACAATGACATGAAATATCCTCAGTGGTAGACGGATCATGGGTTAGAGTCTCCTTGCCGTCAGGCTAACCCTCAGAGGTTTCCGTGTTTTTTCTCTCAGTGCAATGCAAATGCTGGTTAGTCCCATCAAAAAGTCTACAAGGCATTCAAATTTCTTACAATACTTTATCCCGAAGTTCCCTTGTCTTCTGGGTGTGATTAAAAATTACAAAACTGCGAAGTTCAACGCCGGATATAAAATAAAATATAAATATTAAGTGCAAGTTTTCTTTTTCTTTCTGTTCTATGATCCAATAAAAAATATTTGAATTATTTTAATAGGAATTTTCATTTAATGAGTATAGCATTAATAGGTATTAATAGGCATTTGTTGGCATACTCATTAGTAAAAAACTTAATTAGTAGAACAATTGGCATTTTTATGAATAGAAAATCATTATTGACCTTATGCCTTTTATCTTCTTCCAAAGCAATAAAAAATAAAATAAGATGTTTCATCATCTCAGAGATATGTGACATACATATCATTCACGATAACCAAGTAAGAAGTCAGTTAAAGCGATTGATCTATCAGAATTTACTAGCAATTACCTTTGTCAATGTAATAATTTTTATTTTACTGTCATTATTACTAATAGCCAAATTTATTAGTTTAAACATTAACACATACAAAATATATTTTACTGAAGTATTATGCATCGAAATCAATCCAGGAATTGTTTCGAATTGCATACAGTTTTTAAAATCTGTATTTGTAGAACAATACTAAAATTTATGAACTCAAGATTTCAAAAATCATCATTTATCAATAGCTATAATTATATTTTTTTAAAAACTTAAAAGGGAATTTTATGGTTGTTATTTTAAATTAAACACAAGTAAAAATCCGTATTTCACACAACAATCCTTTATTTTTTTTAACTCTTCTAATCTCTACAAAGACAACTGACAGACGTATAAAACAGCACTCACTTGCAATCATCACAGCACACAGACACATAAAAATTAATCTCACTTTGAATAAATTATGCGCCGACTGGCCTGTGTAGGGGGCAGGGAACTGTCCTTGCATCAGAAAGGTCCTGCGTTCGAATCCCGGGCAAGGCATGGATGTTTCTTTCTCTCTGTGAGTGTTCTATGTCCTTTCTCCTTTGTGAGTGAATGTGACCCGCCCGCGACTTTACACATTGTCGACTCCCGGGCACCTCCACTCGCCGCGGTTTTATTTGATAACTGTTTCCTCGCCTTATCTAGTACCCCTCACTGAGAGGCAACCCTACGCTCGCTCAGCAGCACTCGTAAAAGTCATAAACGAATCTTCGCGCTCATGAATATTTTTAAAAGTTGATTGTTGAATTAAGTTAAAATTTTATCCTCGTTTAAGACTAGAAAAATTCAAACAACGAGAACAAAATACTTCGTCCTTCTATAAAAAAAGAGAAAGAAAAATTTACATACACGCAATTATTTCAGTTAATTACATAAATATTTTGGTTCAAATAATTTTTCAAATAGAAACTATTCCTGTAAATTAAATAAAAATTTGGAGTAATAAAATATTTATATCTTCAGAATAACCAATATCTTTTGAATACCTTAATTAATAAACGAAGTTTAAAAAAATAATCCCCTATATAAATCACCACATTATTAAGTGTTCATATTTTTAAAGATAAAAGTATTAAAACTTTTTTTACACAGTTTGAAAAATAATTATTTTTATTTCTTTCATTTTTACCTGGTTTTTTCAATTATTTCTATTTTAGAAAAAATATGTATTCTTCAAAATGCTTACAATATCTCAAAAAAATTGCACATATTTTATACTGAACAGCTTTTGATTGACAATATTTTCTTCATAAGAGAGTCTCTAAAAAAAATTTGAAAATATTTTTATTATATTTGTTGAAATATTTTCTGTAAAATGCGTGCTATTATGAAAACAAGGAGAAAAAATAGGTATAGTAAAGCCGCGGCATAAAGAAACAATTCTATGGCATGTTCACTACTATTTTCGTATAGTTAATTTATTTTTTATAACATCAAATCATATTTATTAAAACTTAAAATTGTGGCTGCTTAACTTTTTTTAATGTTTCTTAAATTTGTCAGGGAAATTTCCGATATTTTCCATTTTTCTTGTTTCTATCACTATATTATTTGTATATATCTGAAATTACTCATCTTCGTTTTAATTGTTTCCCAATTAATTTTATCATATATTTTGATATATATATATTTATCCTTTCATTCTATGCTTCATTAATTTCATAACTTATCCATCTTGTAACTTTTTATTCATAATTTTATAACAACTTAAGCTTATTAGATTCTATAACTCAACAATTTGTCTATATATTTTATAATTTTTTTATTGAATTTTTTAGCTTCTAAATAAGATATGGAAAAAATACTATGAAAATTACTACATTTATTTTCAATCTAAAAAGAGACTTTTTTTCCCTCCTAATTACGAAAACACATTTACTAACTTAAGGTAACGTAATTTAACACCATTCATCTATTTTAATAAGAACGATTCAGAGAAGAGCAGGAATAGAAAAAATGAGATGTGTATTTTAATTTATATTCTGCTTCAAAAATGAGACAAAAGAGACACAGAAAACTTTTCTGTTATTATTTAATAGTATTCATTAGTCTTTAAAATTCCAAAAGAATTTTTTAGTTGCTGGAATCATATAATAGTCTCATTTGTAACAACTTGTTTTTTAATTTTTTTTTACACAATAGCTTTTATTGTATGTAATTTGCTTTAAAAGTTCAAATATTTATTCTTAGATTGTCATGCAGTCTGTGTGTCTGAAAACTGTATGACCTATTTTATTTTATTTGTTCCTTGCAGAATGGTAATAATTGTTTCTTATTTGATAATAAAAATCTTACTTTTGCTGAGATAACTGATCGCAAGAGTTTTGTTTTATTATCATAACATCGATTAATTTTTTTTAGAAAAGTGTAAGTCCTCAGCCTTTCAACCCAATTGCTTTAAAACTACTTTCTTTATTTAAAGAAAATTATTAAATTTAAAAATTGTTAAGATTCTCTTATTTGACTCAATATCTTGTCTTTAATGAATCAGAAATAAATAAACAGATTGTCCTTATATTGTTATACAGTTATGATATGAGAATGTCAAAGTTGATGCTTACTGTTTACATTATATTTTTATTTTACAAATCATAAAAAGTTTTCTTTAATCAAAATTGTGTTCACCTCATAAATATACTTTAACTGCTACAAATTTTTCAGTCTTTGCTACCAAAGCTGTGGAGTTGGCTAATACGTATGAAGGAATTTATCGTTTGGGACATAACATTTACAAAAAAGTGTCAAATCTAAGTACAATTGTTTGGACGCAAATATTGTTGGCACTGCAAATGGGAATCATTACATCAAATTTAATCATAGATATCAATGTCAGAAAAGTAAAAAAGAATAAATTCATGTATAAAGCTGACAGCAACAATCTCCTCATCATTACACGTATATAAAAAGAAAATGCTTAAAACTC